AGGCGCTCCTCGAGGAGGTCAACGGTGAGCGTGGTGGGGCAGAGGGAGAGGAAGTGGTCCCTGACCGAGCAAAGGGAGTCAGGGAGCCGGGTGACGAGGTAGTAGAGAGTGATGTACATAGGGGGGGGGTTCTTGGCGCAGAACTCGGCAGGAAGCGCAGCGCGGTAGCGGGTGTCACTAGTGCGGAGGTGCGTGATGAGGTCAGCGACTGTGGCAAAAGCGGCTAGGTCAGGGAACAGGTACGGCAGCATGAGGCGACTAAGGGCAGCAGTGGCAGGGGAGGAGTAGCGCGCAACAACAGCGTCGTACAGAGTCCTAGCGGTCTTGTACTGACTAAAGTGCGCGCGCTCAGCAGACGGCAGGTGACTACGAATAGCAAGGCGGGCAGCAGCATCGCAAGTGGTCCACTGTGAGCGAACAGCACTATCAGCAGTGGCAGCAGGTGCAGCAGAGGCGCCAGACGTGAGATCAAAAAGCGAGACCTGATCTTTGCTATTGCACTGCAGGAACAGCTGTAGATCATCGACCCAGACCTCAAAATCTACTGCCCGACCCTCAGCATCGAATTTGAGTACGTTGGGGGCAGCCATAACAGCAGTAGCAGGAGCAGTAAGAGCAGCAGGAGCAGCAGTAGCGACGCGACTCGATAGGGTGGCGCGGCTAGGCAGGGCGGCTCGGCTAGGCAGGGCGGCGCGGTTTGGCGGTGCGCTTACCAGGGGCGGGTGGGTAGGGAGGCCGCTACTGGTGGGGCAGGGCCGTGGTGCGCCGGCAGGGTCGGGGCCGCAACTGGGCGGCAGGTCAGGGCCGCGGCTCGGCAGCAGGGCAGGGCCGGGGCAGAAGCGACAGCAGCGGCGGCGGCGGCTCGTCACACTGGCGGAGGCAGGCTCGGCGGTGGCGGCAGAGACAGCGGCTGCTGCAGGGCTCCTCGGCGGCTGCTGCAGGTGGAGGCCGCGACTGGCGAGAGGGGCAGGGCGGGGCCGCAGCAGGTGACGGGGCGAGGCCGCGAAGGGCCGTGAGGGGGGCCTCGTAGAGCCGCGAAGAGGGCCGCGAAGGGCCGTGAGGGGGGCCGCGACGGGCCGTTAAGGGGCCGCGAAGGGCCGTGAGGGGGCCGCGAAGGGCCGCGAAGGGGCCGCGAAGGGCCGTGAGGGGGCCGCGAAGGGCCGCGAAGGGGCCGCGAAGGGCCGCGAAGGGGCCGCGAAGGGGCCTTAAGGGGCGCGACGGGCCGCTAAGGGCAGGGGACGCGACGGGAGGGCAGGCGCACGGGGCGCGACTAGGGCAGGCGCGAAGCGCGCTCCGGGCAGGTAAGGAATTTTTTTTTTCGTAATAGTGGTGGGCCCTAGAAAACGTTCCCACTAGGGAACTTGCTCTATACCATGTGAGAATAACGAGGAATGAAATGACTAGAAATGAGTTGGGTACAAATGGGGAAACCTAGAAATGTTGTACCCCCTATTGTCTAACCCACTAGAGCCTAAACATGCTATAACATAAGTTTGACAAGGAGAGTAGTTGTACGATACCAGGGGCGTAGATTTGAGGCCTCCCAACGCCGGCATCTAGAGCCTCTTTTCAATTAAAAATTTTCTTTCATGGGGAGGAGGAGATTGGGTGGGACGATGCAACCTCGGCGAGGAGGCGTGGGGAGTTGCAGCAATGGGGGTCTCATGGTCCTCCCGCACCGGTGGCGGAGGCACAGAGACCACGGGCACGGGAGAAAGACCCGGATTGGGTTCCACCGCCGGGAGAGGCGGACGGTGCGAGTGGAGGATCGGGTGATGAGGGTCGAGGAGGGAGAGGAGGGGACCGGTTTGATGGCAGTGGCGCGCGCGGCAGCGGTGCAGCAGGAACGAGGCCACATCCGAGTGGGCCTGGGGGGTCGGGAGCGGGAGGGGCCGGGCCAGCATTGAATGCTCAGCCATAGGGGGCAGCCGCGGGTGGGGATGATGGGTTGAGTGGAGGAGGGGCAGGTACCTTCGTCACTCCGGCTGGTAGTGCACGTGTAGGTGGGTTAGGGATGGTGGGAGATGCAGCCGTGATCGCCGGCCAGAGCACAGAGGGGATGGGCAGGACCCCTACCAATCAGGAGTTCGACACATGGACGGAGGAGGTATTGTGTAATGCAGAGGCCGGCCTGGTGCGTGGCATGTTCGGTGATAAGGTGAAGAATGCTAGGAAGTGCAAGGTGTGCGGGACGCCGATTGGCTGGAAAGAGGGTAGCACGAGCGCGAGAAAGAGACACCTCAAGCCCTTTATATCTTCTGTAAACCCACGTTGCACAATGGATTGCCCCAACAGGTGCGCGGCGCACGCTGTTAACCTTGCAGTGCAGCATGCACTGAAGGTTAATGAGGTGGCCGAGCCGCTCAAGAGGCTGCGAGATGTAGCGAACTACATAGGCTGGTCCACGCTGCGTATGGATCGCTTCTTCGAGCTGCACGCGGGATACGCAGCGACCTAGAGTCCGCCGATCGCGTGCCGAGCATCCGGTCTGTTGCGCTTGATCGTGGACTCACCGACAAGATGGGGATTTACGCTCGAGATGGTGGACAGGGGGTTCGAACTGCCATGTTTTTCCAGGATCCTGATGTCGTATGGGAGTGCAAACACATGGCTTGTGACTATAGCGAATGGGGGTAGCGCCAAGATATGGCTTGTTGGGTGATGCATGATGTGATTTGAATGGCCATGTGACTATACCGAAGGGGGGTATGTGAGCGCCAAGATGTGGCGTGTTGGGTGGTGCATGATGGGATTTGAATGGCCATTTGACTATAGCGAAGGGGAGTATGTGAGCGCCAAGACATGGCTTGTTGGGTGGTGCATGTTGGGATGTGAATTGCCATGTGACCATAGTGAAGGGGGGTATGTGAGCGCCAAGACATGGAATTTTGGGTGGTGCTTGGTGGCATGTGCATGGTCTTACGCCAACGTGTTGTATCGTGTTCCCTCCATCCATACACCCCCCTGAACCATGCGACCCCATTTCAGCCATCCATTACCCGTCAGGCTCGCGAGGCGATGGATGGCATGAAGTTGACAGATGCGCACTCGGCCAACCTCGCCGAGCTCCGAGACTTCCTCCGCCCATTCCAGCAAGTCAGCCTTTTCGCAGAGGGTTGCCTGTACCCCACCCTCGGATTGATCTACAGGAGCAGGCCCTGCTCACCCCAGAGATCTTCCCTTCGCCCTCATCGCTAACCCGTGCGGCGTTGAACAAGCTGGAGCGACACGTGGAAGGGGTGAGCGGGTAGGCTGCAATAGCCACATTCTCGGATCTGCGCCAGAAGCTCGCTCCCTTCAAGCACCGATCGAGGGGAGCAAGTAGTAGGGTGCCAACGGTGGTGGAGGCGAGGGGAATTTCAAGAGGGGCCACACTGGAGCTGGACCCTGAGAGGGTCACGGGCCTGGTACGAGAGCGCCTCCAGAGTATCAGGCAGCCAGGACCACGTCACAGGCCGATGGTGGGGAGGTGACTAGTGCGAGGGGTGCAGGGGTGCATGCATTAGCAGGGGGCCATGCCGTGGCTTCATCTACAGGGCTCAGCTTCCAGTCTTTGTTGTTTGCAGCGTGGGACGTTATGGAGGCCGAGGAGGGGGGGGATGTACAGGATGAGGTGGACCAGTGCCTCTCTGAGGGGAGGCCAAGGGGTGGATGCGCATTGGGGTATTGGTGCAGGATGAGGACGCTGAAGGGTCTTAAAGAGATGGCTCGCGATTACCTGGGGGTACCGGCCACGTCTGCAGCGAGTGAGTGCGCGTTTTCCCAAAGCAGGAATATCATTACTTGGCAGCGACACCGACTGAGTGATGGCCAAGTGCGCGTTTCCATGTTTATTAAGACGTGGCAGGACCACCACTCAGAGGAGAGTCTCGAGCCCAAAGGCACCTCAACGGCAAATGCTACCCTGGGAGTGGAGGATGATGCGAGGGGGTTGTGATTGTTGTACGAGATTGATTTGCTTTGGCCATAGACTCTATTCTGGGCACGTGGTCCGACTTGAGACTTGATGAATTTACTTTTCGTACCCCAACTTTGAGACTACAAAAGATGATGTTACATAAAATAATACAACACATACGTTCAATGAATGCAAAACTGCACAGTACTATTAAAAAAAACAACCATGCCTATGTGTGTTAAATGCAGTTTTGCATCCATTGAACGTATGTGTTGGGTTCCGACCCATACTAATGAATTCCGACCCACATTCTGCATTGATTAAACGTATGCGTTGGGATCCGACCCAAACTAATGGGTTCCGACCCCCATTCATTGAACGTATGTGTTGGGTTCCGACCCGACCCGACCTGAATTAGTTTAATTACCTTCTTAAATGCTACATTGCAAATGAGAAGTATGTTACACCCTAAGAACGCTAAGATAAGGAATATAAGCTGTAGTAAGTCCCCTCATACAGCAAGGCGGACGCCACCTCTCTGAAACGCGAGCGTTTACCTTACCTCAGCACAATCGTTTTTTTTCACCACTTTGAACCAGTGCGCGCGTAATCACGGGTGCACGGCGACACGACACGACAGTGCGTTGCAGCCTAAGATGCAGCCCACGCTGCTTTGCAGCAATGTGCGCTCGCCACTGAGTCGCACCAGCGTGAGTCACTACACTGCAGGGCGCATCTAGCTGCATTGCACATGTCATAAACATTACATTGCAGCACGCATTGAAGGTGAGGGAGGTGCAGGAGTTGCTGAGCCGCTTGCGGAATTTGTCCTCGGTTCAGCTCCTGTTGTCGTGGAGGGAGGACAGACCGGTGCTCCCTCTGATCACTGATTCGACACGGTAGGTGTCCACAGACCAAGGACACGACCAGCAGGAATCGAGATGATTCCTATTATAGCGCGAGGGCACACTGAGTCAGTTGTCCTTAAACTACCAAGTAGCAGATTTCACAGACAACGTTCTTGTTCACGCCCTTTTGCGGCGGTTTCTTACCGGTTTGCCTAGGACACTGGCAAATTTGGGTTTCGGATGCCTTGGACATGTCATCCTGGCAACAGGTAGAAGGGCGTGGGGTAGGTGGAGAACAGTACTCGAACGCGGAACGTGTTCGCCCCGAACACTTCTGTGCTCGAGGAGAACATGAAGGTGTTCGGTGTTGAAATATAGAACAGAACGAGAATGATGAAACTAGGAATGATGGGGATAGAAGTAGGAAACCCTAGCAAAGTTGTACCCCCTAAGACTAAACCCACTATAGCCTACACAATATAAACATATAATGTTTGACACACCCCCATAGGCTAAGTGGGAGACAACCAGATGGTCACAAGACCAGTCAAAGCAAAGCAAAGCAAGCTTAGGGTGGATCTCAGGGAAACCACACAAATTCTGAGCACAAGCAAGTGGTCACAAGACCAGTTCACATGCAGGTTGATAATATAACAAGAGATACAGTGATCACAACCTAGCAAGAGCAGGCATGCAGGTATATATATAGAGATCACAGTACAAGCAGAGTCAAGAAGTAAGCAAGTGAGGACCAGTAGGCACAAGGCCTAGAACAGTACAGAAGCGCTGATGGTCACAAGGCTGAAGCGCCTTGGTGAACACATCAGCAGTGTTGGCCCGAGTGGCCACGTAATGCAGACGAAGCTGACTGCGCTGCTGCAGCTCTCGAGCAAGGAAGTAGCGCAGAGCGATATGCTTCGTTCTGTGCTCCAGTCTGTGCTCCTCACACAAGGCAATGGCAGCCTTGTTGTCGACGTACAGCACTGGAGGAGAACGAGGCCGCTCTCCCAAGTCGGTCAGCAGGTAGGTGAGCCAGCGTAACTCCTGTGCAGCCATGGCTGTGGCGTAGATCTCAGCCTCACAACTGGAGCTGAGAACAGAAGACGAGCGTGTAGAACGCCAAGAAACTGAACCAGAGCCAAGGCTGAAGGTGTAACCCTGAGACGACCGCTGAGTAGCCTGATCGTCAGCCCAAGAAGCGTCTGAGTGCCCAGTGAGTACAACTCGGTCTCGTCCTCCAAGCACTAGCCCCATGCCCGACGTACTGCACAAGTAGCGCAACACCCTCTTAGCAGCATCCATGTGCTCCTTCCGGTGACGGCCTTCACTTTCGACCTTCACCTTACGCGCCTTCGGTTTGCCCGATGCTTCGCCGCGCGCAGCGTCAACTGCCCCGCGTTTTCGGGAAGGGCGAGTCCGGCCCCCCTCCTTCCCTGTACCCCTTACCCGTCTGCCACGCCTGCCCCGTCCCTTCACTGGCGCCACATCCTCCTCCTCCTCCTCCTCCTCCTCCTCCTCCTCCTCCTCCTCCTCCTCCTCCTCCTCCTCCTCTGCTGCCTCCTCCTCCTCCTCCTCCACATCCTCCTCCTCGTCGTCACCCTGCTCCTCCTCCTCCTCCTCCTCCTCCTCCTCCTCCTCCTCCTCCTCCTCCTCCTCCTCCTCATCATCCTCCTCCTCCTCCTCCTCCTCCTCCTCCTCCTCCTCCTCCTCCTCCTCCTCCTCTTCGTCCTCCCCGCCATCATTCTCATCTTTTTCATCCTCCCCAACATCCGCGTCATCCTCCTCCGCTTCCTCTTCATCCTCCTCTCCCTCCGCATCCTCCTCCTCATCCTCCTCCTCCCCCATATCACCGGGGTCTTCATCGCCCCGTTTCGGCTTTGTTCCCGTCGCTGCTTTCTTGCCTCTCCTTCCGTCGGATGCTTTTCTTGCTGCGGGTCGGCCCTTCTTGCGCAATGCTTGACCGCCCGCCTTGCCACTAGGTTCCTTGGCGCCTCGCGGTGTCCCAACTGCCGCGCCTCCGGCGTCGTCAGCACTACCTGTCGTCTGCCACCTCTTCGCCCGCGTAATGAGGTCCCCGGGCACGGCGGTGTCATAATCGTCCTCCCCATCGCTCTTCCTCTGCCTACGCCTCCCCCGTCCACCAGAAGGTGGAGAGCCACCGACCTGCCCCACCGACTCGTGCTCCCCCACCTTGTCCTCATCCAGCACGGCTGCAGAAACTTCGTCCACGGTCGGCTGGAGCAGCGTCAGATGGTGTTGCGTTGCCGCTGCCTCGGACTCCTTGGTTGCGGCATGTTCGGCGCGGGGATCGCCTCCGTGATTTCCCTCCGTCGCCGACCCCTCCATCTCCGCCGACGGGAGTGCAAGACTCGCGCTCCCTCGCCCCGGATCTTCGTTGCCGCCAGTGGTGCCGTCTTTACTCGGACCGGGCTCGGTTCCAGCAGCGGCAACATCCGCATCTTTGTTCACTGTAGAAACACGCTTGCGTGGCGTTGGTTTAGGCCCCTTGTCTTCCGCTTTCGTGCCGGCCTCCTGTTGACCGCGCACAACCTTTTTTGCCGCCGCTTTTTTCTGCCCAATGCCACGAGCGACGGACGCATTAGTTTTTTTAGCGCCGCCACCACACTCCCTATCGATTTGTTTAGACGTCCTCCTTGTCGCGCGGCGGCCGGCCTGTTCCTCCTCCATTGCTTGGTTACGTGTTGCACGTGTCATGGTAATTGTAGGAGGAGCAAAGTTGCAAATCGCGCGGAAGGGTTGAGCCGGTTTCGAAAGGGTTCTGCAACTGAATCCCACGATGGGATTATCGACGGTCTATCATTGTTATGTGTTTCCGAAAACCGCCGCTTCAACTAAATCTGTCATAGTAGCCACTATGCTTCGCGCTAAGGCCGATCTGGAGAGGCGTGTGTCAAGGCAACGAGCAGCGTCAAAGTGTTGGTCCAGGGAGTGACGGAAGCAGGTGGGTGGGGCACGAGGGTGGTTGGGGTGGGTTGCGAGACTAGAGAGAGTAATGTAACCCTATCAGGCTATATTGGACGGTGTACGTGTAGCCACCCTAGCATAAACCCACCTACCGCTCGATCTCAGCCGCTCAATGGGTGAAGTACCACTTGGCTGATGACTGTGTTGCGGGGGGAATCGTTTGAGATGCGTCGGCCAATCACGGTTGCCAACGCATCAATCACTACAAAGGGTAAAACCGGTGTGAAACCTACAGTGCGAAATTAGTCAAATCCCTGCAAAGTACAGTGTTTTCGAGACCGCACAGTGTTACACGTAGAAGCTACATTTTATTCAAACATACAACAATGCATTTCATCAAACTCTAAGTTGCAAATGGTTTACTACGGGGTTGGGGTAAGTTAATCGGTGATTCTTACGTCACACCCACAACGACCGTCCAGAATTATTACTTGTGACAGATGTACTGTGCACTTTTAGGCTTTGCCACAATGGTTTAGGGCCAGCGGACGACATTCTAACACGATTATCAATAGTAACAAACGTGAATCCGTTGTGGTATGGTGTTGGATTGTCATCCATTCTTGCACACACATTAAACAAGGTGCTTAGAAGGAGTGGTATGAAGCACAGGCCCAACGCACAAGTGTAGATGCGTTATCGACAGCCATGGTTAGACTGTGCGACGATGCAGCTTTCAGGCCTGCGGGTTGCGCGACATGGTGAATCCGTTGTCGTATGGTCTTGCATTGGCATCCATTCTTGCACACACATTAAACAAGGTGCTTAAAAGGAGTGGTATGACGCAAAGGCCCAACGCACACGCGTAGATGCGTTATCGACAGCCATGGTTAGACTGTGCGACGATGCAGCGTTCAGGCCTGCGAGTTGCGCGACATGGTGAATCCGTTGTGGTATGGTCTTGCATTGGCATCCATTCTTGCACACACATTAAACAAGGTGCTTAAAAGGAGTGGTATGACGCACAGGCCCAACGCACAAGCGTAGATGCGTTATCGACAGCCATGGTTAGACTGTGCAACGATGCAGCGTTCAGGCCTGCGGGTTGCGCGACATGGTGAATCCGTTGTGGTATGGTCTTGCATTGGCATCCATTCTTGCACAGACATTAAACTTGGTGCTTAAAAGGAGTGGTATGACGCAAAGGCCCAACGCACAAGCGTAGATGCGTTATCGACAGCCATGGTTAGACTGTGCGACGATGCAGCGTTCAGGCCTGCGGGTTGCGCGACATGGTGAATCCGTTGTGGTATGGTCTTGCATTGGCATCCATTCTTGCACAGACATTAAACTTGGTGCTTAAATGGAGTGGTATGATGCACAGGCCCAACGCACAAGCGTAGATGCGTTATCGACAGCCATGGTTAGACTGTGCGACGATGCAGCTTTCAGGCCTGCGGGTTGCGCGACATGGTGAATCCGTTGTGGTATGGTCTTGCATTGTCATCCAACATTGCATGGACATTGAACCGTTGTGTTATTGTACGGCATTGTCATCCATTCTTGCATATTCATTCAGCACGGTGCGTAGAGGTGCACTACACCTCGAGAGAAGACACGCTATAGGTATTCGCTCCACGCAACAATCATACGTTAGGGCATGGAGTTATTGGGTACTTCCCGTATCGTTATCAAGTAAGGGTTGTTCAACATCAGTCCTAAGGATATGAATGTTTACTAGTTATGAATGACTTGAGTGTCTTGTTAAGTTGTAATTGTACATTTGCATTTCCATGTTTGTTTGAAGCCTCTTGAGCTCACCTACGTGATTCCGATTTCCCCCCTATATCGATTCGCGACAGATCTGAACGGATCTCTTCCTGCTCTTCCTCATCCCCCTCGACTCTTACGCACGGTTCATAAACACAAGTTCTTGACGTAATAGGCACGTCCTTCTCACCGTGCTCGCGACCCTACACACGACCGTGAGACTTAAGATCCTCCGCATTCTCCTCTGCTCGCGTCGTGGCCGCTCTAAACGGGGGCGACACGCCTTGTAGGGAAGACGGCCCGTGAGGTGGGCGGTCTGTATCGTGCCTGGTAACGACCACGCGGCTCGACATCGTTAGCCAGTCATAAACATTAGCGCCAATTTCAAGTGCCAGTCGTGCAGTGAAACAAGCCGCCCACCACAGTGCGCGCATTGGCAATGATCGTGTAGCTGTCACAGGCTTCTTGAACGGAGTACTTAATGCGTTCACAAGCTTCATCACGGCTAGTAGCTTCATAGGCGATTTCTCGACTCTACAATGGATCCGTAACACATGGGCTCTTTACCAGGCGTCGTCTGCGAGTTCTGCAACAGATGGTTCCCCAACGCCCAAGTTTATGGCGGTCATACGTCACGGCGGACCCCTTGCCAAGGACTATCTGCCGTGGCAAGGCCCACGCGATCTGCACCGACCGCCGGTCTTCACGCTCTGCTATTCGTCCACGACATTCTGTCGGACGCTCCAGCCGCTCCCGGTTCACCTACAGCGTCTAACGCATCCAACGCCGTCAGTGTGAGCGGTCCTCCACGCGTGCCTGAGGCTCACGTTGACGAAACTCCCAACGACGTGAACGAGGGGCCTCCTGAAGATGAACATCAACCACAACCAGGGGCTCCTGCGGCTGACACGAGTGACCATCCTGAGAGCCGGCCCGAAGGGAGTCATGCCGCGCCGCCAACAATCATCTCCGGACAGAGCAATGCCACGCCCCTCAATCCGCTCACGTTGAAGCTGCTGCATTTCGTTCGGCGCGTGAATGGCGGAATGGGAATGGCCGAGGTTGACATCAACGGCCTGCTTCAGCTAGTCGTAGAGCCCGGCCTTGCGCCTCTTGTGATCTCGGAGCTCCGGAAATGTAAGGATCTGGAGCGGTTCGAGCTGGAGCGCTTGGCAGGGCTCAATCGCGGATGGTCGGTGGCGACCTTCGAGATTGCTGGTCATCCACCACAGCGCTTGCTCTTTCAGAACTCAGCCCAGGTAAGCCGACTTTGCATTCAAGGCCGTGAAATGATGATGAGGCACACAGGGTTTGCATGTACGTAGTTATCCTTGTATTAACCGTACACCCACCTTCACCGCCACTAACCATGCCTCTCCTCTCACCTGCCTTCGCCACCGTACACCAGGCATTCGCTGAAATGTTTGGACATCCCAACAACGCGCCTGGCTTCAAGCTCAAGGCGCGTGTTGATGAGGACCCTGACGCAGGCGGCCGTCGCTATACCACGCCTGAAATAGGAACGTGGTGGAATGATGCTCAGGTAAGGAAAGACCACGTTGCCACCCCAAACCCAATCCTTCCTCATGCCTCCATCGCTGCACTGATCTGTCAAGAGCATCAAGAGTGTTAAACCGTGTGTCCGTTGCCGCTTTGTCGTGCACTGCAGGAACACTTCGGTTGGTCCGAAGTTGTGGGGGGGATCATCTTATATTCGGATGTGACGCACATGAGCAACAACGGCCGGAAGAAGGCGTGGCCGCTCATGATGACGCTGGCCAACATCTCCCAGGCCAAGCGATGGGGGAAAGCCGGGCACACACTACTTGCCCTCCTTCCTATCCCCCCGTCTGCAATGTCTGCCGTGGAGAAGGTGATGCTCTTCCAGCGTTGCGTCATCACCGTGCTGCAGCCGCTTCTTGATGGCATCGCCAGGTCCGTACTCGGTTTGCATCTTGCTAAGACATCATCTCACCACCTGCATGGTATGCAAACCCTCTCTGTATGTAGCATGGCCCTTTGCCCCTCGTCGTTCCTCCCTAAAAGCCGTAACCCGAATTCCTGTTGCCAATCTACCTGTTCCTTGCAGCGGGTTCCGTCTCAGGGACCCTTTTGGTGATTGGCAAACCGTGCGGCCCCTGCTGTACGCCTGGGTGTGCGACTACCCCGAGAGCGGCAAGATCAGTTGCACACTCTCGCATGGATCGCGGATGCCGTGCAGCATCTGCTATGCTGCAAAGGTGAGGTCACATGCCATCTGCACGCATTCAAATACATTCTCGTTTGTGGGTCGCCTGATAGAACCCACATAGCTACCACCCTTACCTTTTCTATCCCATCCCTCACCCCCGTGCTACAACAGGAGCATCTGAGTGCTGTCAAGGCACGGAACACGCCGCGCACGCCTGAACAGCAGCAATGGATCGTTAACGAGGCGGCTGGGACGACAACTAGCCAGGCTGACCCGTGCAAGGCCTACTCTACCTACCCTGTTGAGGTGAGTGACCTGTTTCCCCGGCCCATGAGTAGTCTATGCTCTCGCCCGCCCCGTCATGAATTGCCAGATGTGCTCTGCCCCATTGAACTCACCCCACTTGTGGTTTAGGTTAGCTATCCACTCTCACGTACATCTCTCCTCCATTTCCCACCACATCCCCATTTCCAGTGCGTGCTCTGAAAGTGGGATGTCCCAGGGACCGCGTGGGGCAATCCCTACCTCGTGGTGATGCCTGACATCATGCACCAGGCGGACATGGGCATCATGAGCCACATTGTGGCTGTCGTGCGCAAGATGAAGAAGCGGCGTGTGAAGCAGATGGACAGGTCAGTGTGTTGGGGATTGGATTCGTTGCTCTTCGTCACATTTACTCAAACCATAAGTTCTGTCCTATTACTCACATGTTTCTGCCCTTTTGCAACCGCTGAACTGATGTGTATGGGCAGGCGCCTGTCTCTCATTCGCGACCGCACGCGCCTGAATCACATGCGCCTGCCGGAGAGCGCCTACTTCGAGACCGGAGCATGTGTGGCGGCCTATGAGCACAGGGCCGTCATGCAGGTATGAACCCTCCATTCCCTGTTGCTTGTCCTGGCCTAAACCCTCAAGCAGTCTGCTCATGCTGCCATTGTTTGTCCCAACTCCTCACACCATCTGTGCTCACCCTCCCCTTTGCTGCTATCCACATTCTTTGCAGGTCATGGTGTTTGTTTTTGCAGGCCTGCTTCGCCAACCCCAGATGGATGCCGTTCGTGCCTATCTTGGCTGGTACATCCTGTGCTCCCAGCCTCAGGGGCACACTGAGCGGTCCCTCCGGGAGCTGAAGAAGATGACCTCTCGGTAATAATACCACGCATGTAAACCCCCGTGCATGGGATGAATGCTTGGCTACTGTAAATGTGCTCTTGTAGTAGGCAATCTTGTGAGGATGTTTAGTGCTAAACTTTGAATGCAGAATGTAATACTATCAATAGCATATGTTGGCAGGCGATTGAGACCGACACACGGACGCTCATCAAGGAGTCATACTTCCTCCCTGCGGAGTTACCACAAGAACCCACCTCCACCAACTGGTTTGCAAGGAAGTGGGCCAAGCAACACCCTCGTGCCCAAGCTGCCCTCAAGGATGCGCTTATGCGTTATGCAGGATGCGTCACCGAGATTCGAGTAAGTAGTTGCAAGTTTGTGCAATCAACCATCATTTGGCTGGCTCGTATCATACATGACTAACATCAACTGTTATGCAGGATGAGAGTTTCAACAAAGGTTGCGAGTAGCTGGATTAGTACTAGGAAAACAGATGAACACATAAAAGCAGGTCTGAAAATGAGACAATCAGACTGGTTCCGCCTAATAATGACGTCCCTAGTCATACACAAAACTCTCTCCTAAAATGGCATGAAACTCGCCAAGTTACCCACTCTCGCAAACTCATGCGAAAGAAATTGAAACAAGAGGCGACGAGATTTCTTAGGGTTGCATAGCGTTTTAAACAGATGTACTCTTTCTTTATATATATATACATATATATATATATTTCCTCATTGGCGACAACTTCCAGGTGGGGTCCACAGAGGATGGAGCACGCAATGTCGGTTGCCTTTTAGGTTGGTGGTGCGAGCAGCATGGTGAGGCAAGCAATTATGAAAAAGCCTAGAGTTACGAAGTTTTCTTGGCAAAATTAGTTTTATGAGAAACCTCTGCATAGCATGGTGGTGGGTTGGCCATCGACATTGGACGTGGTATGGTGAAGATGCACGATGGTCCCATGCCATTTCTAGTATGCAGAAAGGTTTATTAAGCAAAGTGGCATTGCTGTTGGGTTAAGCAACAATATGTATGGGTGGTAAAGCCACCTTAAAATCTCACCTTGTCATGCCACAATTCAGCAGAATCGGCAGGTGAGTGCAGGCTGATCATTACAAGTGGGAGGTTTGCCACTTGTCTCACACAGCACGATGGACGGATTTGACCTGTGCTGTGGCCAGACGAATCAAACTGGGACACATTTAGTATGCCTTGTTGTGTGTCACACGGGGCTACGCCCGTGCATGCATTCCTTCTTGCACGCGTGCACCTAGAAGCTTTATGTATGTTACATGTCGGAGTTTGTGTATCTGTGTAACTGCATGTCTCTGTGAGTCCAGGCCAAGATTGCAGACTTTGGGTTGCTCAAGAAGCTCACCCATGCCGACGATGGCGCGATACAGCGCGGGTGGCGGGAACACCGGGCTACTTGGATCCGGACTACAACCGAACGCACGTGGTGACTGAGAAGAACGACGTGTACAGGTCTGTTGCTCTCGGCATAGACTCATAAAAATGCATATAAGCATGTGGCAACCGTGGTAGACACTGGCAGAGCTATGCGTTATTCAGCACATACTACTTGAGCATCCACATGCAAAGCGCCATGGGAAAAACCGCCTGCGTATAGGGGCTAAATTCCTCTCCCCTTCCTTTTCCGTCGTGGGCAGCTTTGGCATTGTGCTGCTGCAGCTGCTGACAGGGCATGGGACACATGTGGAGGGCACCAACCGACACATTTGCCGCCGGGTGCGTGCAGTGTGCATTTGCTTAATCAAGGTCAAAGGAGGTCCATTACATCAACATCTCAACTCCATGTTTCCAACAATAATCATTGACTAGAATGCGACAACTTTGTCATTATACTCTCTCCTCCACCTCTTGTGTTTCTTCATGTCTCTCAACTCCCACCCCTCCACACCGCATCCCACTGCACGGCAGGCGACCAGCAAGGTTCAGGCGTATGAGTTTGCGTCACTCAAGGACCCCAAGCTGGAGGCACCGGAGGAGGTGGTGGTGGAGCTGGCAGACATTGCTCTCGACTGTGTCAAGGTGCCCGGCTCCCACCGCCCCGTCATGAAAGACGTCGCACGCCGCCAGCAGGGCATCCTCACCAAGTACTGTGCGAACGGCTCGTCCAGTAGCAGCGTCGAACCTGCGATTCACGTGGAGGAAAAGAGACCCGGCTTTGGTGGCGGCGTTAGCACGGATACGCTTGAGAGGAGCGAGCTGTCGGAGGGACCCAGCGAGTGGGCTACTTCTAGGATCCTCAGTTCGTCTCTGTCAAGCAAGTGGTGGTCATTCCAGTAGGGACTATGAAGGGGCCTATTACTCGTCTTACACCACTTACGGTATTAACAAACTTCCCATTCTCTTGAGCCCTGGTTTTCAGGAATTCCTAAATTTCATGGTTGTATGGGAGCTTTATTTTAAAGTGTTACAATGAGTAGAAGCATTCAGTCAGGATTTCTCGGGGCTGGGAAAGGCATGAGGGTGGGCAGGACAGGGAAAGGTGGTGGAAGGGAGGACTTTTTTGACAGTGTTAGTGCTGGACTGAAACCTGCATTAGCAAGTTCAAAAGCTGTAGATGTCATTGTTATTGGCGTTTTCGATTTTGTTCAAGAGAGGGATGTGAGCACAGGCTATCCGCACACAGGACAGTAGCGCAGCGGTACCTGAATGCATTATTTTCCTGGCAGGGCTAGCAGGCAGGCAGGATGCTACAGAACCCTTCTGTGCGGTGTCATGATACATAGACGCTCATGTCGTAGTAACTCTTGCGCCACTCTCAAGGTGCCTGCTGCTGTGAGCGTTGCAAGAAGCTCCTGTGCCACAATCAGTTCCGTTCCTCCCTTTCAATCCGACATCCAGTCAACGCTCTGATACAAAGGCGCTCGTGTGGTGGTGGACGTTTGAGTCAGAGCACTGCTACCGCGAGCACTAAAATCAGTTCCTGGGTCACAATCAGCCTCGTCAATGCCTCAGCTTCCCCAGCTTCCCTCCCTGCCTCCGCCCCTGCTTCAACCCTACATCCAATTCGGCAGTCAGTGCCATGTTATAAACCCACTCATGTGGTGACCGTGAAGTCAGAGTCAGATGGTGCCTGCTCCAGACCCTGCTGCTATGACTGCTGCAAGAAGTTCCTGTGCCACATCAGCTTCCTCACCTTTTCATCATCCTCACTGCCCCACCTTCCTCAGCTTCCGTCTCTGCCTCCACACACGTTCGCTTGAACTCTACACCCGAGTCAGCAGTCAGTGCTCTTATCTGGTGACTGTTGGGTTGACTCAAAAAGCGGCTGCTCCAAACCCTGCAGCTATGAGTGCTGCAAGCAGTTCCTGTGCCACGATCGGTTTCCTCACTGCTCCATCCATGCCGGCCTCCAAGCACGCTCGCTTCACTCCTGCATCCAAGTCAGCTGTCAGCGCTATGATACACAGGGGCTCGTGCTGGGTCTTTGCATCAACTGCCCTTGCTTCCGTGCTTGCATCAACTGCACTTGCTGCTGCTGCTGCTTCTGTTCCTGTTCCTGCTGCTGCTGCTGCTGCTGCTGCATCACTGGGGGTATTGTCTCCCTCTGGCATCACGTGTGTTGTTTGTCTGCTGCTGCTGCGCTGTGCCCTCTCCATGGCTCGAATCCGAGAAGCCGTCTCGAATCTGTTGGGAAATGGGGCGCAATGGGTGTCAACGGAAGGGATGGCAACGCGGAATCACAGGAACAGAGCAGGTAGCAACCACAATCTCACAGTAGCAGCAACGGCAAAACAAGCAATCTAAACAATGGTGATGTCAACAAAGATCAACCATGGGTGGCACGTGGATAGGCAGGGAGGGTGCGGTGGAGATGAAGAAAGCACGGCACTCACCCGTCGATGCCGGGCGGCATGTGGAGGTCGAGGAGCAACAGGTGGATGGGCGGGGAGGAGGGAGGGGCAGAGGAGAGCGCTTGCAGCGCATCCTCCCCGGAGCACAGCAGCAGCACGTGCGCCCCGTAGCCCTGCAGCGTTCTCCTTGCCACCATGCGGTTCACCGCGTTGTCATCCACCACCGCCACCGACCGCCCCGCCACCGCCGCTCGCACCAGCACCTCCGCCTCCTCCGCGCCCTCCATCTGGGCATGCATTCTGGGGAGGGAGTGCGCCCGTCTAGTCCGCCGCCCCGACACTGCCGCTGGGGCCGGCGCCTCCGCGTCTCCCAGGCCCTCCGTGTGGGAATGAGGCTTGGGGAGAGAATGCGACCGTGCTGTTCGCCGCCCCGCCTTCACCACCGCTGGTACCGGCTCCTCCTCTTTCGCTGCTGCCTCTGCCGCCACCGCTGGCGAATCCCCCTTGGCCTCTCCTGCATTCTCTAAGGCATCGGCTATGCTGGCCTGCGGCTTGAGGTGAGAGTGAGCTCGTGATGCCCGCTGCTGCTGCTGCTGCTGCTGCTGCTGCTGCTGCTGCTGCTGCTGCTGCTGCTGCTGCTGCTGCTGGTGCTTAGGTTTCTGCTGCTGCACAGATGCCTGCTGCGGTAAGCCTGACTTTGTGCCACTCTCAAATTCCACACACTCCCCTTCACATCCTGACCCGCACCCATCCCTTTCCCCACCACCCTCCTCCTCATCCCACTCCCCGTCCCCGCAGATGTCAGCGTCCTCTCCTCCCCCCAGGGGCAGCGCCAGCAGAATGGTGGTGCCTGTGGCGGCGTGTGACAGCACTGCCATGTCTCCCCTCATCTCCGCCACCTGCGGAGGAGATGGGATGAAGTTGGATGGGGAAAGAGAGGGGGGTTTAACAATGTATCACTATCACATTTAGTGTAGTAGGCATGAATATAAAGACCAGTCCTGGTTAAGACCAGTCCTGGTTAAGCAGTCCTGGTCCAGCCCAAGACACACTCGTTCGACATGGGTACATGAGCACTTCATGGCACATGGAGCAACGTGGCTCAGCACAAGCAATTGGGCCCAGTCTCATCCACTACGTCCATGTCGGCCCGCTCCTACTCCGGGGAAGAAGAGGGCTTTGTTCAGCCAGTTCACTTCAACTCAAACAAAGTGCCAAGAGAACCTGCTATTGAGATGCTGAACTTGCTGCCAGCGATCAGGTTCAATGGAAACAGGTGTGCGAAGGGAAGGCGATACGCTTAATGCCAAGCTGGCACAGCTCGACCTTAATCGAGCTGCAGGGTGCGTGCCCAACTTAAATGTGGCCCGGCCCGAAGCAGGCGTTTTGGATGCACTTCTTGGCAGAGTTCCGCGGAGGCAAATGAAGGTTCACGCTGAACCTTAGCTGGCCCAGGTCGGCAGAGCAAACTTGGCCTGAGCAATCTGCAAGTAATACGTTTGTTTATAGTACGGTTATGTATAGTACCTTTACGTTGTACGTCTTATGTATCTCGTTTTTGGCTGGTGCGTTTGTAAAATTCTTCTCTGCAAATGAAGGTTGCGGACAGCAGGATGGAAATCCAAGCAGATCTCTCAATGGAGTTGGCAGACTCGTTAAATTGTGGTTGGGATACCTTGTAAGGCGCCTCAGAAGTTGTGGGATAATCTCAACCACATGAGCTTGGGATACTGACACACTGGGAGGAGGTGGCACTCACAAGGGCGGTGGAGAGCAGGAAGCGAACGGGGTAGGGCGTCCAGCGGGGGCGAGCAGCAGCCTTCTGTTCGTGCGTGAGAGCAGTTGCGGATGCTGGCCTCTTGCGGCGGCGAATGAGAGAGAAGGGAAAGAAAGAGCCCTGCTGGTGCTGGAGGGCGGATGAGCATCGGGGAGCGGGGGAGCAGAAGAGGCAGGGAAAATATTGACCACACTGGTGAAGTACTTGCTGTCACATGCCTCTCAATCCGCGGACACTTCTTGGCAGAGGATAAACCAGAGACTTGAATACTGGGAGCAATCCAATGTGATTTAAAGGAAGCAGACCATCTTTCAGACTCACCAAGGTATTTTGATCATCGCTGTCACCATCATCAGCATCAGCAGCACCAGCAGTAGGAGGTGCATGAGAGGTGTGAGCGGCGTGGTGGGAGTCTCCATGTGGATCCAGCACCCACCGCATCTCCTCGGGTGGAATACCACCGCCCGTGTCCTCACATGCCACCACCACCATCCACTCGCCCTCCTCCCTCTCCCTGCACGCCTCCTCCACCCACTCCCTCACCTCCTCCTCCAACCGCCCAACCCCACCCTGTGCCTCATCTCCTTCCCTCCCCCTCGATCCGATGGATTCCCCCAAGCCTGCCGGCCCCAAGCCTGCCGCCCCCATGCCTACCGCCGCTGCCACACGCCTGCAGCAGCGCTCGACCAACCCCATCCGCCGCTGCTCCTCGCCCCCTCTGCTGTTGGCTCCCCCGCCCCCTTTGATGTTGGCCCCGCCACCCGGCCTTCCCGCTTGGATCCGAGGGAGGCACGCGAGGGCAGTGGGGGGAGGGAAGCGGCGCACACAGGCAGCCAGCTGCTGCCACGTGGAGGAGGCCCCGGGATTTGAGGGAGGGTGAGTGGCAGGCGAGGTGCTGGATGGGCCGTGCAGATCGAAACAGTTGGTGGAAGTGGGGAGGGGAGGCGGGGGAGGGATGCAGCCGACGTGAAAGATCACGTGGCCTCCTGTGGTGTTGCTGATGGCGTGGGCTGTGGGCGAGAGGGAGGTTGAATTGGAGGGTGTATTTGAGAAAAAGGAAGCATAGATCGTAGGTGCTACAAAGACGGCTTAAAAAAGGGTTGTTGTCAAGGGCTGTGATCAAGGCCGGTCCTAGAGCTGTTATTGAGTCCTACTATGAAGGGAGGTTACAAAGGCTGTCACAATATTTTGGGGAAGTGCTAGGTAGATTTGTGTTAACTCATACAAACGGCACATGCAAGGTACAGTTGAGAGCAGCATCACGCGAGTGTCTCAACAACCCAGCACCCACCCGTGAGCTCCCCGATGACTTGCAAGAGGCGTGTGGGATCCCCCATGAGCACAGCTGGCACACTCTCGTCCACGTGGCATGTCACTGCAGTGTGTCGCACAGCAAGAATGGCAAAATCACAAAAAAAAAACGGTTTGGAATGGAATGGGCCGCCAACTGGAAAGCAGTACATGCGGAGCATGCACAATCTTACCGTGAGACTCCTTAGTGTGCGCATCTGAGGCAGCGAGTGCAGTCGCGTCGCGAACGATGCGGCGCAGGCAGCAGGGGAGAGTCTCGAGCTGCAGCCTGCCGGCCTGCAGCTTGGCGAGGTCCAACACTCGGTTGATGAGCTCCACCGTCTCACCGGCACACGCCCTCGCCACCCGCAGGTCTGCATACTGCCACTCCTCCAATCGCGACTCCAACAGCTCCTCTATCATGCCTGTGCGAGGGGGGGAGGTGGGGGAGGAGGGGGAGAAAGAGGGGGCGGCTGCAGCTTGGCAAGGTCCAACACTCGGTTGATGGGCTCTACTGTCTCACCCGCGCACGCCCTTGTGACCCTCAGGTCTGCGTACTGCCACTCCTCCATCCCCGCCTCTAGCAGCTCCTCTATCATGCCTGCACAACAGGGGGAGGATCCTAGGGAGCAAATGTCGACAGAAGAGGAACATGCAATTCGGGGTGGCTGCCTCATTCAGGGTTGGGCTGATTCATAGCACATCTACTTGGCTCTGGCTTCTACCCACCAGAAGAGTGCAGCCATTGTCAACGGGAGTTGCGTTGTTGGTCCCGTCCTCGCTTGGGCGCGAGCTGGTTGACGGGGCTGGTCGACCTGCGCGGGGGCTACTGCAGGGGCGCCGATTTTTGGGGGGGCGCCGAGTTCGGGTGGTCGACCTGGCGAGGTCGACATCGGAGGCGTTGACTTGGTGACGCCGACCTGGGGAAGCCGACTTTGAGTGATCGGCTGACCACTGGGCTAGTTGATCTGGAGCTGGTCGACCAGGGGTGTGGTCGACGTGGTTGCCTGGTCGACCAGGTTACCTGGGCGACGGGTTTTTGCGGAGGCACGCGACGGTCGCCCAGGTGTTTGTGGCGAGGCCGACCTCGGTGTGGTATCCCGAGGTCGACGTGGAGGATCAGGTGGGCATGAGGTCAGCCTGGCGTCTGCGCTGTGCACTTGACGGGGCACAGCACGCCAACCAGCTGCTAGCACCTGCGAAGCGGATGCAATGCTGGACTGCGGGTGCAATGCTGGATTGCGGGTGCAACGCTGTGCAGCCGCCTTGCTGCAGCGTTGGCACACCGTCGGCCTGTAGCGTTGGCAGACCGCGAATTTGCTCCGCTGGAGCGTGGTCGACCATGTCGAGTTGGTTGCGGTCGACCGTGCTGCATTGGCAGTCGACCAACATGCTTGGTAGCTCTGATGTAGTCTGTCTTACCAATGATGTTGCCACCATTGTTGTGAACTTTTGGTAGTGGAACTCTTGCTAATTTCCCCCGTGAATGTGCAAGCATAGAGAGCACGAGTAAACGACTAAGGAATGAACGCAGAGATCACTCATACCCTGTGCCTACCCCGTAGACTAGCTCCCGTTGCTAGAGTTATTTTTGCAGCCATAACATCAAATCAAACGTACGTGTCTCCAGCACGCCTTTTTCGGCGCCTCAAAAGTCGCCCGTGTCTCCAGCATGCCCTTTGAGGACTCAAAAGCCGTGTCTCCAGCATGCTGGGACGATTCTCCTCATAGGCTGCGCAGTCTGTCTATGAAGGGCCGGCCCCCATCATCGTCACCGAAGCGTGGAAGCAGCGTGATTGATTTTCTTGGACCTCAGCTAGCAAGCTTTCCACGCATCATGCCAACTCACGCAACTCATTTGTTTGGTGCAACTCACGCATCTACCTACAGCCTCACCTATCCGCCAACAATTGGCAGCATCACATATTTACGTTCTCACCTATATGGCAGAGGAACGGTGCCGCTCACACACTTACAGCTTTGCCAATCATGCAAATGATTGCCGTAACTCGCACTTACAGCCTCACCCATCATGCCAAACATGCTAATGATTGCCTCACCTATCATGCCGATGATGGGGGTGCGCAGCTCATGCGAGGTGTTGGCCACGGTCTCACTCTTGGAGCGCTCGGCATTCTCCAGCGCCATCGTGCACAGCTGCATCTCCCTCACGCCCTCCGCCATCTCCCTCTGCTTCCACGCCAGCACCGCAATGACTGCAGACAGCAGCACGGCCACGAGCAGCACGAGCAGGCCCAGCAGCATGGGGGCATACACGAGCTCCCACCTGGGGTACGCGCCCTCATACCTGCGTGTATTGGGATTCATGTGGAAGAGACATACATACATACGTCAAGCATATAAGTCAAACGTCATGGGAATGATACAGACCACGAGCAGCACGAGCAGGCCCAGCAGCATGGGCGCATACACGAGTTCCCATTTAAGGTACTCGCCATCATACCTGCACATGGGGATGCATGTGAAGATAAAATACATAAATCAACTTCATGGGGATGATACAGACCACAAGCAGCACGAGCAGGCCCAGCAGCATGGGGGCGTACACCAGCTGCCACGTGGGGTAGGCGCCCTCATACCTGCATGCATTGGGATGCATGTGGAAGAGACATACATGCTTCACGCAAACGAGACAAGCTCCATTCATGTTTTTAGCGTCTTAGAAATCGCTTCCATGCCAGCACACTGCAATCATGGTGGAGACTGGAGAGCAGCACCACCACGAGCAGGCCCAGCAGCTCCCACTTGGGGTAGGCGCCCTCAAACCCGCGTATTGGGATGCATGTGAAATAAAAATACAGAAGTCAAACTTCATGGGGATGACTCAAGCCAGCAGCAGCACCAGCAGACCCGGCAGCATGGCCATACACCAGCTCCCACTTGAGGTAGGGGCCCTCAATCCCACGTGAAGCCTAGGTCATGCAGCACTGAGCGTGAACAGACTGCTACACGAAGGAGCATGGAAACAAAACGGACGGAAGTAAGGAGCACAGGAATTACTGCAGACATACCCGCTTCTCTCACTTAAAGCCGCACCATCCTTTTCATACCTGCTCCTCTGTGCCTCCTTGCCTCACCTGCAGTGCGCCTCATACTTGCGGCCCAGCAGGTCCTCGGGAAAAGGCTCGACGTGCTTGGGGCCCGGCACGACAGGCCCAGGCAGCACGTAGGGGTAGAAAGAGCCATTCTCCACACGCAGCGGCTCAGGGCCAAGCACCTGAATGGGCTGGCCTGGGTCGGTTGTGTCGTACATGGCCATTGAGTAGGGGGGCCCGGTGCCTGCATGTGTCCACACACACATGCATGCATGTGACCACACACACATGCATGCATGTGACCACACACACATGCATGCTTGGATTCAACCAGGGAGATACACACGAATGCAACCAGCCAGGCACGCGTGACATTGAGCACAACATGCATGGCATTAGGCACAGGACGCATGGGATTTGGCACAACACGCATGGCAATAGGCACAACACGCATGGCATTAGGCACAACACGCATGGCATTAGGCACAACACGCATGGCAATAGGCAAAACACGCATGGCATTAGGCACAACACGCATGGCAATAGGCACAACACGCATGGCAATAGGCACAACACGCATGGCATTAGGCACAACACACATGGCATTAGGCACAACACGCATGGCAATAGGCACAACACGCATGGCAATAGGCACAACACGCATGGCATTAGGCACAACACGCATGGCATTAGGCACAACACGCATGGCAATAGGCACAACACGCATGGCATTAGGCACAACACGCATGGCATTAGGCACAACACGCATGGCAATAGGCAAAACACGCATGGCATTAGGCACAACACGCATGGCAATAGGCACAACACGCATGGCAATAGGCACAACACGCATGGCATTAGGCACAACACACATGGCAATAGGCACAACACGCATGGCATTAGGCACAACACGCATGGCAATAGGCACAACACATGGCATTAGGCACAACACGCACGGCATTAGGCACAACACGCACGGCATTAGGCACAACACGCATTGCATTAGGCACAACACGCATGGCACTAGGCACAACACACACATTCCACCAGATGCACAGCCACAGCAGCAGGCAGCAACTGGGTAGAAGGAACACACACCAGAGGGAGTGAGGGCAGGCTGGAAGGTTGTTCAGAACCGTTGCAATGAAGGTTAACTGAAGAAGAAAAGGAGTGACGGGGAAGAAGAGGAGTGATGAGGAAGAAGAGGAGTGATGGGGAAGAAGAGGAGTGATGAGGAAGAAGAGGAGTGATGGGGAAGAAAAGGAGTGATGGGGAAGAAGAGGAGTGATGGGGAAGAAGGGGGAGATGGAGAGGAGATGTCACCGTTATGAAGCAGTGCAAGCAGGCTCTGAAGGTCCTCCTGGAGGAAATAGAAACCCGCCCACAGGGTGCTCACACTCTCCCTCAGCTGCTCTGCTGTCGCGTCCGGCGGAACAGGATGGCGTTGTATTGGTACCATCATCACTGCATGCATGGAGGGAGGGAGGGAGGGATGGATGGATGGATGGATGGATGGATGGATGGATGGACGGACGGACGGACGGACGGACGGACGGACGGACGGACGGATGGATGGATGGATGGATGGATGGATGGAGGACGGACGGACGGACGGACGGACGGACGGACGGACGGACGGACGGATGGATGGATGGATGGATGGATGGATGGATGGATGGATGGAGGACGGACGGACGGACGGACGGACGGACGGACGGACGGACGGATGGATGGATGGATGGATTGTGGCACATACAGGGATGGACGGCACATAGCTATGGTATGATAGTCTGTGTTTTTTATGCGTTTTTTACTGCGATTAGTTTTTTTAACAACAAGATTAGGACTCAGTGTTCCAAACGCCAAGCAAATGACGCCAATGATGACAATGAATGAACTTGTATCTTGATATCAAAAGTGACAAAAATCTGCGAATGCTTTCACCCGCATTCCCATGCCGGCCCCCTCGAAGATTTCCAGGCTTGTTCCCCCTTACCTTGTGCGGTTACGTCACCTGCCCAGGCAGGCGTTTGGAATAACTGCTTAAGCATATAGAGTCTCATGTAAATGCCTGCGACGTTTTTACCAGCCAGCTTCGACACCAACCACCAGTGCCCAGCCCAGTGCCCCACACACACACTCACTCACCAGTGCCACACACACACTCACTCACCAGTGCCCACTCGATGTTTGCCGAAGAAAATAGGCGGGGAGGAGGCAGGGGTGCCGTGGAGGACAGAGGAGAGCACGGCTGGGAGCACGCTGGCGGAGAAGTCGGTGAACGGCAGGATGGGGTCGGCGGGGTCGATGCCGCCCAGCACGTTCACGATGTAGCGTGGCTTGCGCGGGGCCGGCAGGCCAAGGAGGGTCACGATGGGCCGCCCTGTGATGCGCTCCACCGTCGGTCTGAGGGGACGGACACATTGTCAGGAAAGGGGCACGGCACGAAGAACAAGTGATGCGGTGCAGCTCAGCTCAGCCCAGCACGTTCACGAAGTACAGCGGCCTGTGACGCGCTCCACTACAGGCCTGCGGAGGGGAAGAAGGTGGGCAGGTAGGCGGGCGGGCGCATGGTCAGGCACGAGGCAGGAAGAACAAGTGGGCGGAAGGAACGAGCATGCGGCTTGGTGAGCATGAGCAACGCCGCAGCATGGTTAAGATCAGTCGACCTGCTTGTCAAGTCCCCCGCCTCCTCTCCCCCCCTCTCCCTTTCCTTCTCTCACACACCTGTCAGCATGTCTCCTTGCTCTGCCCCCACTCTCTCTCTTCTCTCACGCACCTGTCAGCATCCTCAACGAGCATGACGAGAGTGCCCGTGGTGAGGTCAGACATGCCCAGCGTGGCCGCATTGTACAGCTCCATGCTGCGGTTGTCCGCACACCCCGCCAGGCCCCAGTAGGTCAGGTTGCTGCTGCTGCGCTCGCCGTACCCGTTGAACACGCGCACCAGCGCTGACATCTCCTGCCCTCAGGGCAGTCCGCAGATGCAGTGCATTAGTTGGGGGGTGAGAAAGGGTGGCTGCGCAACAAGGTGAGAAGCTCGCAGTACCTGTTGAACACGCGCACCACCAGCGCTGACATCTCCTGCTCGCGCACGCAGTCCGCAGGGGGGACGCAGAACCAAAAGGTGATGAAGGGAAGGGGAGAGAAGGCCATGTCTAACGCCAGTGGGCCGTGTGAAGGGCGTTCCGCTGTGCTGAAACAACACCCTCATGAAGCGAGGTGTTATAATGGAATCAGAGCCTAGGGTTCGAATCCCGGCTGGTCCACATGTTCCGCCTGTGGCGAGATATAGAATGTGGTTACCAGACTTGAACCCAGTGAACCTTCGCTGGCCTTGACCCCACCAGCGAAGTCGCTGCTTGGAGTACAGCGAAATCAGGCATTTCGAGAGACATAAATTGCAAATTGTAGGGTCTCAATCGACATTCCAAGGCCACAGACGGCAATTTAAGGGCCTCCAATGGCATTGCGAGGGTCTCACGCAACCCTCAAACGGATCTGAGGGCGTCAAACGGAATCTGAGGGCGTCAAACGGAATCTGAGGGCGTCAAACGGAATCTGAGGGCGTCAAACGGAATCTGAGGGCGTCAAACGGAATCTGAGGGCCTCAGACGTAATCTGAGGGCCTTTAACGAATCTGAGAACCTCGCGCGGCATTTCGCGTGCCCCAAGCGGTGCAACGGGACAGCCAGCGCGGCTGACGAATGCCGCCGGTGTCATTTGTGCCGTGGTCGACGGGACAAGCCGCGCGCCGCGCGTACAGTTGTCTATCGAGATGATCACTGCTACTGCTCGGCAATGCCGTGAGTTGCTGTAGGGCCGCATCGCACCTGCACGCGCGAGACGGACGAGAGAAGGCCCTGGTAGAAGTAGCGCACGCGCAAGCGGCACCACCCGCGCATCGCCAACTCCCGCGGATTGGCGGCCTGCGTGTGCGCGAACCACACAACCCACGCGCACAGACCCAACCATCCCGCTACCCACGCCGCCCCTAGCAGCACCCTCCCCACGCCCCACGGCATGCCTCGCGGCGTAAGGCGCCAAGGTGCGCGCATGAGACTGGCGGAGGTGCTGGTGGTACAGCAAGTACTAGAGCGACTCGCACAGCAGGATTATGTGAGTGGACGGAATGTGGGAGTGAAGATGGAGAGAATGGGTTTGAATTGAAGGGTTGTCGGGTCGATCTTTTTAGTTTTGGTTTGGAGATGTGTGGTGGCGGTGGTGGGATGGAACTTCCCATCCCACTGGGAAGGTGGGGGGGGTTGATTGGCCGAATCGCATGAGTTCAGTCTCTCCCAGGCCCAGTTCGGCAGGCATTATGGCCATTATGGCCATTATGGGCATTTTTAACGGGCCCCCAAAAAAATGGCCCCTCGAAACAGCTGCGAAGTCAGACTGTAGCTGCAGTTTAACTTCGGAAGAATGGGCCCGACTGTAGTTGGCATTAAATGGGCCTGGATTAATGGCATCAACCCAAAATGACACTTCGCAGAAGCTCGCATGCAGCTGCGCTGATGGAGCCCAGAATCACTGTACTGGCAGCCCGGGCAGCCCTGCAAACCAGTGGTGGACGTCGAAAAAAATCGGGCAAGAGAATCTGTGCGTTCGATGTGTTAGTGATGGTGTGTTGGTGATGTGTGATTTTCCGGATTTGTTTTTTTCAGGGCAATGTGTGATTGCCCCGAATCACTGCTACCCCGTGTGGTGCGGGCTCTCGAGGCCGCATGGTGCGGCGTATCAGAAAATGGACCATTTGCCTGAGAAATAGGGTTCGAGGAAGATTCCTCTGGTGGAAAATGCCAGCGTCAAAAGGGGAGTTCGGCTGGCATTCCATTATTGTCTGGTTCGGCGATGATCCGCTTATATCGAGCCTAGATAACCTTTCACGCGCTTATCAAAGAAGGTTCCAGGGTGGTCGGTTTACTGTAGCCCATACGGGGAAACCGTTTTTTTAATGCCTGCCGAACTGGGCCCCAGACTCACGATCACGAATCAATATGTACAGTGCCGTGGTGGATGGCTGATATTTTTTTCACGGCGCAGGACCGTTTGGGAAATCGGACGGTCGAACAGAAAACAAGCAACCGCACCGCATCCACCCTCAAACAGGGGCAACCAGCAAGTTTCACCGTACATCACCGATCTGGGTCAAAATCTTACCGCATATAAACGAAGGGTTTCGAAACTCCATATTGGCTGGTCGAGGGACGTACGTAACACGCTTGGTTATAGATTTAGGGCGTGTCATGCTTGGTGAACTTTCAGTTCATTTACAGCGGTTGACTACGAGTTTGTGCGTTGTAGGGCGGTAAGTTTCTCCCACCGCTTTGAACCGCCACATACCAGTCTGAACAGTGATTCATGTGCTGTAAACTTACAATGCATGACACGCCCGTAGTGTACCCTCATGAATCCTCGCTGTATGAACTGCGTGACCCTTACGAGCATGTGGCGCTCGTTCCGCCGCGCCGCTAGTACTCGCAAAGCGTCACGCTAGTATGTGAACTTTTTAATTACCGGGCCACAGTGGTGCGGCCTAAAAACGGAGTCGTTATAACTCTCTCGTACTGTATGCGGTCCTGGAAATATATGATGCCTGGACCTCGTCAACGGTCGGAATTCAGCAACGCGATTGTTTTCCGAGAACTTATGGTGCTAGATTGAGAAAATCATACGTAGGTTCGGTACAATCAAGTGAAGCCGAATCGCTAAACCCGCGCGGTGAGACTCGTCGACGGGATCGAGAGAGGCGCGGGATTGGATGGAGCTCGCAAAATCGTCACCTTATCCCCTTAGGAGGGAGGGCTTTTTGTTGCAACCCTAGTTACGGAGTCGCCACTCTTAAACACGCTTTACTCCTCTACTCGACTGTTCGCGCGTCAGTTGAAAGCACTCGTGCGGCTGAAGGAATCCATTTCCTAGGGGCGCTCCGACACGAGTGACTCGCGTCGGACGCGACGCGGGCAACAAGGCGTGGGTCGCAGCAGTAGCCGCCGCAGCCATGGCGGGGAGCGAGGAGCAGATGTGCCTCGTGTGCTTCAGCGTCAACTGCATGGAGAAGGTGCGCGTTACAGTTTCAACTGCCGCACGTCCATCCGTGTCACCTGCATGTCGTATTAGGGTCAACTGTCGTGTGCGTTACAGGGTAGCTGCATGGAGCAGAAGCGTTCGAATGTCCGCAACAGCACCGATCCGTCGATCTTAAGACCGCGCAGCCTCCCCCACTCCCCTTCCCCCCCTTTGCGCGCGCCCGGCAGGACCGGCACACGGGCGTGATGCGGTGCAACGCATTCTTTGCCTTCCCCACTTTCTCCCCCTCTCCTCCACCCATCAGGACGGGCACACGGGCGCCATGCGGTGCAGCGAGTGCGGCATGGTGTCGCAGCAGTTCCGCGAGGAGGACAACGAGGGCGGCGCGGCCGGCGCGCCGGGGATGGGCGCGGGGATGGGGGGGATGGGGGGGTCGCAGGCGGTGGTGCGCGAGAGCAACGTGGCGCTGCACCAGCAGCGGCAGGAGGTCGCCGCGGCGGACGCCGCCAGGGCTGCGCAGGCTGTCAGCTTGCAAGTGCAGGTGGGAGGTGGGGGTGGGGCGTTGAGTGGGCGGCAAGTGCAGGGGGCTTGCAGTGGTGCTCATGGTGAGGGCGAGAATTGTGTCCTTGCCTCCTCGTGTGTGCCTGCTCTCTGTCCCTTGCCCCCTCTCCTGCTCGCGAGGGTTTAGGGGTTGGGGGACCATGCGCCATGCGCCCCACCTTACCCCTTTCCACCCCCTCCCCCTCTTTCGCCTATCCCGCGCTCCTCCCCCCCAGGCGCACGTCCTGGCGGAGCACTACTGCGCGGGGCTGCACACCATGCTGGCAGAGCACTCTCTCATCCATCTCCCCTCTCCCCACCCCCTTCCTCCTCCCCCCAGGCGCACGCCCTAGCGGAGCACTACTGCACGGGGCTGCACGCCATGCTGGCCCGCCAGTGCCACGCCTTGCCTTCCACTACCGCTGCCCCTTCCCCCACCCACCTTCCCCACCACCCTCCCCCCCTTCCACCCACCCCTCCAGGCGCACGCCCTAGCGGAGCACTACTGCACAGGGCTGCACGCCATGCTGGCAGAGCACTCTCTCACCTCCCTTTGCCTGCCTCGGTCACTGCCGCTTCCCCCCATCTTCTCCCCCTCCCCACCCACTCCCCCCCTCCCCCCCAGGCGCGCGCTCTAGCAGAGCACTACTGCACGGGGCTGCACGCCATGCTGGCCCGCCAGTGCCACGCGCTCTCCGCCCTGCTCGCCCCACCTACAACCCCAGCGCCGCAGCGGCCCACTGGGGAGTGCAAGGAGCAGGACGGTGCTGCTGCTGCGGCTGCCTCGGCTGCGGCTGCTGCCAATGCCAATGCAGCAGCGCTGAGCAGCGTGGCGCGGCAGATCCTGCTGCGCCTCGTGCTGCACTCCGGTGTGCTCCGCCAAGGGTATGCCGAGCGCTGCTGGCTGCTGTGGCGTGTGGGTGAGGGCGCAGGGGGAGGGGGGCACGCTTGGGAGGAAGGGGAAAGGGGTGCAGGAGGGGTTGGGGGAGGGGGAAATGGGGAGGAGGGATGGGGAGGGGAGGCGAAGTCTGGTGGAAGGAAGAGAAGAGGTGGAGGTGAGATGGGAGGGGAAGGGGGGGAGGCACTGCAACGGGAGATGGCAGGGTGGGGCATGGAGGGCGGGAGCGGGGGCTTTGGGGGAATGGAAAGCGCAGCTGCGCAAGGGGCAGGCGGAGAGGGGAGAGACGAAGAGGGGAACGGCGCAGTGGGTGGCACGGGGCAGCACGAGGAGGAGGGTGAGTGGGCGCGAGAGCTGCGGGCGATTCTGGCGGGCGCGAGGCGGAGCAGGCGGCGCGAGAGGGAGGAGGCGAGGAAGCGGGCGAGGCGGGCGCGGAGGAAGAAGTGGGGGCAGTTTGAAGCGGAGCTGGAGGCCATTCGGGAGGACGAGGCTGCTGAGAGACGCGAAGGAAGTGAGGGGATGGGGGGGGATGGGATGGGAGTGGAAGGGGAGGGAGAGGAGGAGGAAGGAGGGAAGGGGGGGAGTGAGAAGGCGTCGCTGAGGGAGACGTGGTTTGCCCTGGCGGAGAGGCTTCAGACGAGCCCTTTCTTTGCCGTCACCTGCAAGCTGCACGTGTGAGTGAGGCCCTTGAGTGACGACCTTGGTGTTCTTGCTGTGATGTGAGCACCGCACCATACCGTCACTGGCAAGGCAACCCCACACCACTTGCATGGCTGCCTCCACTCCGCTTCCTGTTTCCCTTTCCTCCTCGCATTCACTCCCCGCATTCACTCCCCACGCCTTACCTTGCATGTCCCCTGACTGCACTCCTGCTTCTCACCTCCCACAACCCCCCCTAAACCCCAAACCCGGGTCCCCCTCCCAGCCTCCTGCCACTGCACGCCTCGCTTGCATCGCTCTTCCTTGCCTTGCATGCCCTGTACTGCACGCACTGCCTTGATTCTCAACTCCACCTATTTCCCTCTCTCACCTCGTTCTCCCCCCCAGCCACCTTCCACTGCACGCCTCGCTCTTCCTCGCCTTACATTCCCTTCACTGCACACGCTACCTTGCTTCTCACCTCCAGCTATTCCCTTTCCCCCCCTCTCCTCCCCGCCCCCCCCTTTTCCCACTTCTCCCCTCCCTCCCACCCACCCAGCCACCTACCGCTGCACGCCTCACTCGCTTCCCTCTTCCTCGCCTGCCACTACCTCCGCCTGCCGCTGCTCCCCACTGACATCTGCCACCAGGCGCTCTCCTCACTCTTCCTCGCCTCGTCCTGCATGCCCCTTCGCTGCATTCACTGCCGTGCTTCTCACTTCCAGCTATTTCCTATGCCAACCCCCCCTTTCTCCCCCTCTCCCCCTCCGTCTCCCCCCCTCTCTCTCCCTCTCCCCCCCAGGCACCTGCCTTTGCACGCCTGCCTCGCCGCGCTCTTCCTCGCCTGCCATTACCTCCGCCTGCCGCTCCTCCCCACCGACATCTGCCACCTGGCGCTCTCCGGTTCGCTGCCCTATCTGTCCGCGTGGCGCCAGCTGTCGCCCTTCCAGGGCTACCCCGCCAGCATCCCATCCGCCACGCTCTTCCGTCCGCTCGCCCTCTGCTCTGCCCGCCTGCTCGAGCTGCTCGCTGCCTCTGCTGCCACCTCCATCGCCCTGCGCCTGCCCCCTCTCAACTTCCGCCTCATCGGGGAGCGGTTTCTTCAGGTGCGCGTCTCCTCCCTGCACCTGCCGCTCTCTCGCTCCCTGCACCTGCCTGCTGGATGTGCGCCATCCCCATGCCCCTCTCACTCTCTTCCGCCCGCTCGCCCTCTGCTCTGCCCGCCTGCTCGAGCTGCTCGCTGCCTCTGCTGCCACCTCCATCGCCCTGCGCCTGCCCCCTCTCAACTTCCGCCTCATCGGGGAGCGGTTTCTTCAGGTGCGCGTCTCCTCCCTGCACCTGCCGCTCTCTCGCTCCCTGCACCTGCCTGCTGGATGTGCGCCATCCCCATGCCCCTCTCACGCTCTTCCGCCCGCTCGCCCTCTGCTCTGCCCGCCTGCTCGAGCTGCTCGCTGCCTCTGCTGCCGCCTCCATCGCCCTGCGCCTTCCTCCTCTCAGCTTCCGCCTCATTGGGGAGCGCCTCCTGCAGGTACTCGTTTCCCCCATGCCCCTCTTACTCTTGTCCTGCAGGTGTGCATGCTGTATGTGCGCCTCCCCCGTGCCTCTCTCACTCTCTTTCGCCTGCCCGCTTTTCAGGTTGAGCGGGCAGCAGTGATCTCAGCCGTTTATCCGAGTTAGGCTCGGTGTCTTCTCAGTGATCTCAGTGATCGCTGCGCTGCTCTCTCAATGCACATGTCGCGTGTCCTTCACTCTCCCTCGTTTCGATTCACCTCTCCAGCCGCTGACCATCTCTCTCCCACTCTTCCCCACTCCCCAACCCCCATCCCTTCCGCTTTCTCCCCAACCCCCGTCCCTTCCGCTTTCTCCCCAACCCCCATCCCTTCCGCTTTCTCCCCAACCCCCATCCCTTCCGCTTTCTCCCCAAACCCCGTCCCTTGCGCTTTCTCCCTAACCCCCATCCCATCCCTTCCGCTTTCTTCCCAACCCCCTTTCCCCTCCGCTTTCTCCCCAACCCCCGTCGCTTTCTCCCCAGCCCCCGCATCACCCTCCTCTGCATTCTCCCCTCCTTCCCTCTCTCCCCTTCGTCCCTCTCTCCCCCTCCATCCCTCTCCACCCGTCCGCCCCCCTCTGTCTCATCCCCTTTTTTGCGCCCCTCCTGCCGCACCAGGAGCTGCACCTACCAGTACCGCTCTTCGCCCCTTTCCTCCACCGCCTCTTCGACCTCCTCTGCCCCTCCGACTCGCTCTCCCCTTCCCTCCCCTCGCTGCTGCCGCGCTTCCACCTCTCTCCCCTTCCCTCTGCATGGCCCACGCGCCTGTACGTCATGGCAGCCGTCGTTGTCTCCCTCAAGCTCGCGCTCGCCCTCGGCTCCTGGCCCTCCCTCACCGCAGCACCATGCACAGGGGCGTCTCCAACACCAACGCCAGCAGCGGCAGCCGCCGCCGCCGCCGGAGCAGCAGGAGCAGGGGGTGGTGCGGTGGTGTGCAAGGCTGCTGCTGCTGCTCCCCGCGCCACGGTGTCGCTGGCACGGGGCGCGGTGTCGGGGTGGCAGCAGATGCTGCAGCAGCGCAAGAGGGGCGAGGCGGGGCAAGGCGTGGTAGCGGAGGGGTCGCTGGCAGGGCAGGCGGGTGAGGGGCGAGGGGAGGGCAGGGGGGAGGAGGAAGAAGGGGAGGATGAGGAGAGGGAGGAGGGGGAGGGGGATGGGGAGGAGGAGGAGGAGGGGGAGGGGGAGTGGGACGTGCGGCGGGTGGTGCAGGCGGTGGAGGGCAGCCGGCAGCAGCTGCTGCAGATGCCCATGCAGACGCGCTCAAGGGAGGGGGGGGCGGAGGGATCAGGAAGAAAAGGTGCGTTCCTGTCGGAAGGGGGTAAAGTCAGGGGCGTGGAGTGAAGGGCGTGGAGTGAAGGGCGTGGAGTGAAGGGCGTGGAGTGAAGGGCATGGAGTGAAGGGCATGGAGTGAAGGGCATGGAGTGAAGGGCGTATATTGTAGTGTGTGAGGGGAGGAAGGGCGCACCTGCTGTTCCCGTTGGTTTCCCACGTCCACTCCTCTTGTTTCCGCGCTCGCTTCCTCTCCGTCCCTTTCCGACACCCTTGCATAAACACCCACTCCCCATCCCCTCCTTCCCTGCATGACCAGTCTAAACTCCTGCTATGAACCCGCCAGCCACACTCCTTCCCCTCACCACTACTCTCTCGCCCCCTCTCCTCCTCTTCCCTGTTACTTGCCACTGCCCTTCCGCCCTCCCCTCTCTCCCGCTCGTACCGCCCACAGAGCCGCTGCAGCTGGGGCAGTACCTGCAGCACTGCGAGCGCCACGTGTTTGCCCCCGACGCCACGCGCGGCGCCGACCCCTCCACACTCGACCGCGAGCTGCGCGCCCACCTGCACGCCGCCCTCCCCTTGCCGCCCGCTCACAGGGGCAGTGATGAGGGTGGTGAGGATGTGGAGAGGGATGAGATGGCACATGAGTGGGGCAGCCGGGCAGCGGAAAGAGGGAGAGGGGAGCAGGTGGACACGGACTTGGGCGGCGAGGAGAGGGGGGAGGAGATTGGAAGGCGGAAGCGGAAATGGGGTAGGGAGGGGGGAGAAAGGGAGGGAAAGGGAAAGAAAGCAAGGGCGAGGGGGGAGAGGGCTCGATGGTTCCCGGTGCGGGTGGAAGATGTGGAAGCGGATATGCGGCGCTGTGACTTTGCGATGGCTCCCCCGCTGCCCCAGGTGCCGCTCTGCGCCAGGTGCTGCTGTGCTCTGTTCATGTTTCCAACCGCTCACTGATCTGAGGGCGATGGTTGCATGGGGGTTGCGTGTCTCATTATTGTCGTGTATCCGGGTCTTAGGTGAGTAGTGGTGGGGGAAAGTGTTTCTGTGGGGGTGGGGCATGGAAGTCAATGGATTCTCAGCTTGAACCAAGGATGTTCAAGCCACTCTGGAAGCATGCAATATGAACCACTGAGTTATTGCAAACGCGTGCATGAACCCAAGGGGTCCATTGTTACCCCTGCCATGCTAAGTCACGCCTTGCCTGCCCCATCTTCTCCTGAACCAGTATTCACGCACCATCATCACCCACCCATCAACCCCACCTTCTCCCCTTCCGCCTATCCTCTCCCTCTCCTCCCTCGCCTGCACCTCTCCTCCTGCCCCCCAGCCGCTGCGCAGCAGTGAGCTGGTGTTCTGCGAGCACTTAACCTTCCCCATCATCGCCCTCCCACTTGAACCCCCTTTCCCCTTCCTCTCCTCCTTCCCCGCTCCCCCACCCACTTCCCTCTCTTTCCACCAGCCCCTGCGTGGCAGTGAGCTGGTGTTCTACTACCACATTGTCTTCCTTCATTAACCACGCACTTGAACCCCCTCCCCTCCCCTCCCCCAACCTCCCCTCCTGCCTCCAGATCCTGCGCGGCAGTGAGCTGGTGTTCTACGAGCGCCCGCTGGCGCGCGCGCGCATGCCGTTCATCACCCACCGACCCACTCAAACCCCCTCCCTCCTCCCGCCCCTCCCCTTCCGCCACCCCCCCCCTCTACCCCCCAGCCCCTGCGCGGCAGTGAGCTGGTGTACTACGAGCGCCCGCGGGCGCGCATGCCGTTCCACGAGGTGCATGCCGACCTCTTTGTGCTGCTGCGAGCCGCCGCACGTGTGGCGCGCGTGCACGTGAGGGCGCTGCACTTCTGCACCATGGAGATTGAAGATGCACTCGTGGGTGTAGAGGCTGCCTTGCAATCGATTAACAACTGAACCAGGCCTTTTTATTACAGTAGTTTTCTGAGCGGTCCGGCCAATCGGATCGCTTATCATAGTTTTTAGATTTGGTTGGCATGCCTCAGTATTTTCCACAACAATCGGAGTACTCGTTTGTAGTACGGCCCCCACCTCACACGAGCTTACGCAAGTCAACATGATGACATTAGCGGCACCGAGGGGGAAATCTGCCGAGTTCGTCATTTCGGGCGGGAGTCCTGTGTGACCAGTGTGTTTTTCTTACCACAAATGTTACCGAAGCCCCTTTTTTTACTATCCTCATGTTTTACAAATTAGTACAAAAACATATCGGTACATGGTGTCAGTGTTTCGTTGGAAGTTCTGAACCACTTAGGCATATTTGCAACGAGGCAGTCCCATTGTTCAATGGGAAACGTACATTTATGCTGGACCAGCAGCAAGGAGGGATCCAACCCAACCGAAAATGCGCGGAGCTTCACAGCTTATCGACACGTGCTACCTGCCCCGTTGGCACATTCGTGAGCAAAGATTGGTTGAAATGCTAACTTCCCAAATGCATGCTGAACGCATTCGTCTCTGCAAACAAAACAGCATTCACTTCTTTTTGTGTGTTCGGTAGAGCTTCAATTTCCACAAAACCCAAAATGTAGGCGTTGCCACAGACACTTCACCACTCGAAATCTCCGACACGCAACTGCTGCCTCATGATAGCCCGAAGCGTGGGTGTGGGAGGGTGTCCAGGTGTGTCAGCAAAGTGAGTTGAGGTGACCAGAGCTGACGTGTCCCAGCTGGCGAGTTCGACAGCCTCTCGCTATCCGACGATGAAGGGAGCAAGGTCAACGTCGTCCTTGGCACAAAGCAGTTTGATGCCAGAAAAAACCAATGGTGTGACATTAGCGAACATCTTTTGCAGCTTTCCTTTCTCTTGCAAGTGCTCTTGGCTGTTCAGTCTGGCTTGGCCTCCCAAAGTTCCGATGCCCTCTTGGTCACATCAGAGCGTTCTTGAGTACAGAACTCTTTGCAGCGGGATTGCATTCTGTCATTTTGGGGAGCTGGTGAAACATTTTCTGGCCTTCACATTTCGCCACATTCTGGCCTTTATCTGTATGCCTGTCAACTATACCGCCAAACGTTCGTCTGGTCCAGATGAATCACTGTGGCGATGTGTTCAACCATGCATCGCTGCCAACCTGGCCTTCTCTGGTTTGTCCATGGCTCATAGTGGCTGGACCAAACCTACCCTAACTCGCTTAGCACGGTCGTTCGGCTGGAGAGACCCACGTTCGACGATAGTTGGTGTATCACGTGCTTCTCCGTGTGAACAGTCCCTGTTCTGCGGCCGCGCTGGCAGCTGGCTAGTCCAGGATAGCGCGTTTTGCAGCTGCAGTAGGTTCCGAAAAAATTGGAGGGTCACGGACGGTCGAAAGGATAAGGGACACTCCAGATATCATATAAACATCAATATAATTTTCAGAGTACTGGTGGTAGCAGACGCAGGTCGCCTGGAAATTATATGGATATGTTACGATTCGCTACTACGGAATCGATTCGCACGCCGAAAAGAAGCACTTGCGGTCGGAACATGGCCTTGCGACTTCGTGCACGGCCTGGATCGAAAGCTATTCTCATACAGTGCACAGCACTGCTGACACTAGTAACTGAAATTATTTTCCTCTCCCCGCTCGAATCCCGTACAACTGGAACCTTCTGGAACGATCATTCGCAGTACACCACTTCATGGCCAGGAGGAATCTGACCCCTTCAGTGTGACACTGGATAGTACAATACCCTTTAAGGATTCGGAATCTTGAGGGTACTATACATCATGGATTCGGGTTTCCACGCATGCAAAGACTTCTTCAAGGAGTTCGAATCGGGGTGCACCCGGGTCTGTGAAACCAAATATATCGCCCCTTCCTCTCAGGCTGAGGGAACCACTCAGGCTGAGGCACGAGTACCATTCCGTACTATTTAATTCAAATGATAACCACGGAAGGTCTCATTTCGAACTTCCATCTTTCACTCCTTACCTGCTACTGGCGATCACCACCGAGGTCTCATTTTAGACTTCCTTCTTCGTCCTTATTGCTACCAAACATCTTTATCTGCATGATGGGACGGGCGGCGATTCTCTTAGTCGTCCTGCTTTGTAAGTAGTACTAGCTTTTGCTCCTCCACATTGTTTCCTGCCGCTACCGCGACTAGTACTAACACTTCCCGCCAACCGTCGCCCCCCGCCGCCCAAACGGTCCTTGGCATTTATGCGCGGCATTATACAGACAATAAAGTGAGTTCAAGCAAGCAAACTGTCTCTAAATGCATCATAATCACGTCATAGTCATGTCTCTATTCTTCCTGCCCCCTCCCCCGCTCCCCCCACCCCCCCCCTCCCCCCCCCCAACCAGGTGCGGCGTTCTTCACTGTCGCCTCGCCTGCATCGTTCCTCGAGCCGTCCCATCCAAGCGGCAGCGACGGCAATGCCGGTTCAGCCGTCACGGTGGCGTCTGCCGCGGGTTCAAGGGTGGCAAGGTCCTTGAAGAAGTGGAAGGGGAAGACAGTGGGTACGTGTCCGCAGCCGGAACATAGCCCTGTCAGTTGAGAAAGCACCGCGTGACATTGTACGAGCTGACTTCTGAGTCGATTCAAAAGTCGCCGTGTCTGCCTCCGTAGCAACGCCCCCCAAGAACTGGAAAGGGAAGACAGTGGGTACGTGTCCGCAGCCTCTGCGCCGCCGCTGCACTACTGCTTGTACTTCTACTACCACCATCCATGCTCCGTACTGCTAGCAACAACAGCAGTAGCAGCATGCTCCGTACCGCAAGCAACAACAACAACAGAGGCGGCGGCGGCGGCAGGAGCAGCAGCAGCAGGTGCACCTATCTGCTCACCAGGAGCTGGCTGCGGCCAAGCCCCCAACGTCGCCCCAGATGATGCTTGAAGGGACTTCTAGTAGCAATAGTAGTAAGGAACCGTACCGTTTTTTCAGCACTGGTGAACTCATGCCTCGCCCCGTGTCCTTCCCATGCCGTTCCCTGCGTTCCCATTGCCAGTTAAGTACGTGGCGAAGCTAAAGGGTATGGGGGCTGCTAACAAAGGCGCATCAGGGTAATATGTTCTGAGGCTAGTAAGGTACGCCCGTGCGAATTCAGTCCTTGTTGCTAATCTTCCCTACAGTTACCGCTCAGACCACCGGACCAAGGTGAAGCCTTTGTTGTGCTCATGAGCGCGTGGCCCCCTCAAACCCGTTCGCGCACCCCCCTCCCCATATTTCCGCTCCTCCTCTGGGTCCCTCCGCGCCCCTCAACTCTCCCCCTCCCCCCCTTCACACCCTGACCCGCTGGTGACCATCTCCCTTTATGCCCTTTGCAGGTTCGGAGCAACAACATACCAACAAATATTCCATATCAAGGCCTCCAAGATTGGATCTGGAGACACTCCTAGAGGCAGCTACAACACTAGCTGCAGCGCAGCTAGTCCAGACAGAAAGATTTATCCCGTTTGGATTAATGCCACCACGACCAAGGAAGCTAAAATGAAGCGCTACAGTTTCAGCACCATCAAAAGTTATGATTCCGTGGAGACTCGAGCAAAGGGACTTGCTGATGTAGCGGAAACGTTGTCAGGGGGCATGTACTTTCGGGTCGAGTATCAGGACGAAACGATTGCACTCTGCGGACTGATAAAGAAGGTGAAAGTTCGCTAGTGCGCTTGACATTCAAATCAGGAAGGTCATGGCTCATGTGTAGCTCATAGGTTGGATACTAGAGCTCGCCATCTGAGCTGACTCTCGTATGCTCTTTGTTGTCAGCATAATCTGGGCAAGGGTGTGTTGGTGGCAGCATACATGTGTGACTTCTTTGGTGAGAGAAATTTAGAGGCCGGTCTTTCTGATTGGGTGTGCTGTTTGGGATCTGTAGAATGCCCCCAGGTCTTAAATCAGGGGGATTGATGTTGAGCTGTGTTTGCAAGTGGGTTTAGGGTACAGTTTAGGGTTTATGTTTCTCAACATTTTAGCCTTTTGAATGGCTTACGGTACACCATCTCGAAACTTTCGAAAAGCTGCGCATAGTCTGTAACATGTAGGAATCAAGTGGTGGCAGAACAAAGGCTATGTATTAGAGCAACTAGCCTGGAATGGGAATGAAGGTTCCTGATGCAAGGTTGACAATGCATCCAGTCCAGGGATCCTGCCATACTCTGCTACTCACCACCAACTCTCATCTAACCCGGTCTGCTAGCAGCCCTCCATGCTTCCTGCAACGCATGGAAAGACAGGCGGAAACAAGGATATGGGTTCAGAATGAAAGGTTGAAGGGGTCGTTTTGATGCGAAGGATAAATTGTAGGGATGGTCTGGTGTCGGGGATGGATGGGAGGAGGGATGGAAACAAAGGAAAGGTGATGGGTTACGCAAACAAAGGCATTGCTACATCGGAAACTGTGGAAATGAGGAACGAGAATGAGTGAACTATGAAATGAAGTGAGTACAAATAGGAAACCCTAATTGGGTTGTACCCCCTATGGGATACCCCACTATAGCCTACACAACAGCATAAGCTATATAATGTTCTGACACACCCCCATAGGCAAAGTGGGGGAGAACAAGGGGTCACAAGACCAGTCAAGCAAAGCAGAGCAAGCTCAGGGTGGATCACAAAGTCACCACACAGTCCGAGCACAACGACAAGGCCACAAGGCCAGTTCACATGCAGGAGTACACATATATATATAGAGCTAGACAAGCAAGAGCAGGTATATATATGTAACAGTACAAGCAAGGTCAAGAAGAGAGCAAGTGAGGCAAGACAGGTACAAGACCCAGCTGGGTGCAGAAGCGCTGATGGTTACAAGGCGCAAGTGCCTTGGTGAAGATATCAGCAGTGTTGGCCTCAGAGGCCACGTAAGCAAGTCGCAACTGACCACGCTGCTGCAGCTCACGAGCAAGAAAGTAACGGAGAGCAATGTGCTTCGTTCTGTGCTCCAAGCGCTGCTCTCGACACAAGGCCAGCATGGCCTTGTTGTCTACGTACAGCACTGGAGGAGAACGAGGCGGCTCTCCAAGGTCAGTCAGCAGGTAGGTGAGCCAGCGAAGCTCCTGTGCAGCCATGGCCCCGGCGTAGATCTCAGCCTCACAACTGGAGCTGAGAACAGAGGACGAGCGAGTAGCCCGCCACGAGACAGAGCCGGAACCAAGACTGAAGGTGTAACCCTGCGACGACCGCTGTGTAGCCTGGTCGTCTGCCCAAGAAGCGTCCGCGTGCCCAGTGAGGACCACTGGACTCCGCCCTCCAAGCACTAGCCCCATGCCCGACGTACTGCACAAGTAGCGCAACACCCTCTTCGCTGCAGCCATGTGCTCTGGTCGGTGTCTCCCAGGAGCAACATAGCGTGCAAGAATGCTAAGAGGGTATGCAAGGTCAGGTCGTGTGCAGGTCATCAGGTACATGAGGCAGCCAACAAGCTCTGGGTACGGGCCACTCGACTCTACGGACTCATCCGAAGGCAGAGCTGAGAGCGAGTGGCGAGTAGACAGAGGAGTGGCCTGAGGCGAGGAGTACGTGAAGCCGAAGCGCTGAAGGACCTGCTGCACCATGTGTGACTGAGTCAAGGTAATGGTGCGGCGTGCTCTGTCCCGAGTGATCTGCAAGCCAAGGTAGCTGCGCAGTTCACCCAGGTCAGTGCACGTGTGTCTCTTCTGCAGCTCGGACTTCACGTAGGCTAGTCCAGCAGTGTCAGCTGTGGCAAAGACCAAGTCGTCGACGTACACGCGGACGTAGAACGGCGGCAAAGAAGTGTCGGTGCGCAGAAACAACGACGGGTCAGCAGTAGAGGGAGCAAACCCAAGAGCCGCAAGCGTAGTCCTCAGTGTGTCGTGCCACTCACGCGGTGCCTGGCGGAGACCGTAGACTGGCCGTCGGAGGCTCCACTGGGTGCCAGGAGGAAAAGTCCCAGTGAAGCCAGGTGGACGGCGCAGCCAGATCTCCTCGTGCAGGCTACCCTGCAAGAAAGCAGTACTGAAGTCAAGAGAGTGGAGCTCGTAGTCGCGCTGAGCGGCTATGTGCAGCAGCACCCGAAGAGTGGTCATCTTCGGGGTGGGAGAGAAGGTCTGAAAGTAGTCAACTCCCTGCCGCTGACTGAAGCCACGAGCGACGTACCGCGCCTTGAAGACAGGTGGAGAGCCCGGCGGCCGCTTCACCCTGAAGATCCACATGCCACTGACGATGTTCGCCCCAGGAGGGGGAACCGCGTCAACGTAGGTGCCTGTGGACTTCCAGGACGCCATCTCTGCATCCATAGCTGCCTGCCACTGAGAGGAGTAGGGACCCTCTACGGCCTCCGCGTAAGAGCGCGGAGTCGGGATGTCTAGTGCATCCGGGTCTCCCTCAGGGGCAAGTAGTACGGACGCGAGATGAGGTGAAGCAGCAGCCAGACACCGGAACTCCTCCTGCCTGTCCTCAAGGACGTCCGTGCCAAGAGCACACTCACCCCCGACGGACGGAGGACAGACAGACGCAGACTCAGCAACAAGACCGGCAGCGTAGTCTAGACGACAGCGAGCAGCAAAGTCGACAAGCTCAGCAACAAGTGCAGACGCAGCAGTGGACTCAAAAGAGGGGTCAGTGACGACAGTAGCAAGGAGACGTGTGACAGCAGGACTGGCAGCACGAAGAGAGTCCGACTCTGGGTCAGGAAGAGCAGGAAGAGAGGACTCAGGAGGAGAAGGCAAAGGGGCACGCAGAGGAGCAGTGGACGGACGCAGAGACATCCGGTGCGTGCCAGGGACAGGAGGAGGACGCTGACGCGAACCACGACCACTAGTGCGAGCAGCACGGACAGGCGACGCAGGACGAGACGCAGGCTCACGACGCTCAGCAAGACCTCCAGTAGGACCAGTGTAGGGAGAAGGAGCGGGCAGTGGGGAGGCCGGCTGTAACTGGAACTGTGACAGGACAGGCTGTGGACACTCTAAGGGAGGAGGAGGACCAGTAGAAGGCGGGAGACCAAGAACCTGCTGAAGGAGCGGAACGAAGTACGGTCTAGGCCGCGAGGCGACTCCAGACACAGCAGGGACAGCACCAGTACCCCAAGCGGGAGCACCAGCGCCAGCAGCACCTCCAGCTCCAGGACCTCCAGCAGCATCAGTAGCACCCCCAGCAGGACCGCCTCCAGGACCGACAGCAGTAGCCTCAGCGCCAACACCCTCAGCAGCTCCAGCTCCAGCACCTCCGGGACCCGCGGCACCAGCACCCTCAGTAGCCGAAGAACCTCCAGCTCCAGCAGCACGCCTCCAGCGCCGGGCAAACCACTCACGCAGCTCCTGTGGAGAGAGGGGCTCCCGCCGAGGCGAAGCACCCGGAGAACCGCCAGGTCCCGCACCGCCAGACGCCACAAGGGGAGGTCCAGTGGCCGCAGGCTCCGCAGCTCCAGGCTCAGCACCTCCAGACGCAGCACCCCCTGGCTCAGCACCCCCAGTAGCAGCACCCCACGGCTCAGTACCCCCAGACTCCGCACCCCCAGGCTCAGCACCCCCAGTCGCAGTACCCCCAGGCTCAGCACCCCCAGACTCAGCACCCCCAGGCTCAGCACCCGCAGCAGGACCAGAGTCACCAGCAACCTCGACCGGCTCGACTGCGTCTACCTGGGACACATCTGAAGGGGCAGGACCCTGAGGGGGAAGGGGGTCTACCGGGGGGGGACCTGGCACAAGGAAGTGCGGTGGCGGGGGGAGGGAAGGAGTGCGGTAGGGGAAGAGGCGGTAGAAGGGGACTGACTCGTCGAACGTGACGTCCTGGGAGGACAGAACACGACGAGAGGAGGGGTGGTAGAACTGCCACCCTGGAGCGTCAGGGGGGAAGCCGAGGAAGACACAGGGAGCAGCACGAGGGGACAGCTTGTCCGCAGACAAGTCACGGACAAACGCCCGAGATCCCCAGACACGGAACGCAGACGCATCGCCGACCTTCCCCGTCCACAGCAGAGCTGGAGAGGTCTCCGGCCGGGAGACCCTGGGGTGAAGGTTGATCTGATGCGCCGCGTACCGAACCGCAAACGGCCACAGAAAATGGGGGGCAGCCGCATGCATCATGGACGTACGAGCGACGTCCA